GGAGTTTGTCATGACTGCAGTTACTCTTAACTTCACAGATTCTTTCTTTACATCCATCTTTTGATATAAGCAGATATTTTTCTCCTAGTGTGAAAACATGTATTCCCTAATATCACTTGACCATTTTGGTCTCTGGCCACCTAATTTTCAAGAGCCACCTAAAAGTTAGATCTGCTGCCTGTGTATGAAATGCATATTAATGATGGCCTTTTCATATTTGCATGATTCTAAGTATCTATGCTGTGTTCCCATTAAAGACAAACATGAGAATTCCATCAGAAACTTAAATCCTAACCCTTGGATTACATCACCTCTTCTTGCATGAATAGCTGGACACAAAAATCATGGCCATATCTTTGTTAGGAGCATAATACATGAAGTTTTTAAGTGGGATACCTAACTAAGAAAACTAGGACAGGCAAGTCACCCATACCCCACACCAATAGCTTTTAACGGGACCTGAATGGATCTCAGTAGACACATACATGGCAGTAGTCTGATCCCAAAAGCTGAAGGCTATCTGTGAGGCATTTGAACGGCCCTGCTTGGGAACATTAAGATGTCGTAATTAAATCCTGGAAAGATTAGTTCTTACATATCATGGAGATTTCAGGTCTCTGTCTGTGTCCCAAAGATTCTCCTTTGTCTTTGCCCCAGCAACTGTATACATCCTTATGCTGGTGTGCTGTCTAGATAGTCTTATAACATGAACTTTAAAATAATCACTATTGCAAAAGGTGTCTTTGCATTCACATCTGACCAGTAAGAGAATTTGAATGTAAAAGTTTATTGGGCTGGACCTCAGCTTGATAAATACAAATTAATTTGAGCTGGACCTTCTAGGTTTGTGTTTCCCTTTGGTGAGAGCTATGCTTCCTTTAGACAAGGACATGACAAGGGCTTTATATGTAAGGAAACCAGTTTGTCAACAGTCGTGGAAAATCTTATTAATACTCAGGCTTTGGTCATCTTACTAAGATAAGGCACTTAGGAGTCACTCAGGAAGTTTAAGTGGATGAAACCTTTGACTTCAGGTTCTGAGTAGGACTCCCAGGTGTAGATTTTCATTAAATTTACCATTGAGCATGAGACCAGGAGGGGATGCCCCTGTCCCTTCTGTGTAGCAGCAGCACTGTTTCCCTTGGATGGGGCCACTCACTCAGACCCCCCTTTACTGTTTCAGTGTCCTGTGTCCTCAGAGCCTGAAATAGCCAGGGCAGGCAGCTTTTACTTCCAGTTGAAAAGAACACTGTGTCTTCTATTCAGAGTGTGGTTGCCTTAAGTACTAAAAAGCTAAAATCAGAGAGTAACATCAGAAGAACAGAAGAAAAGCACTTCGTGAGACTCAACAGTGAGGTGAAAGGCCCTACCCTGCCTGCCTCTTATACCTAGACTTGAGGATTCCGGTTGTAAAAGGAATACCATCCTGAATGGGTCGCTGGTTTCTGGGATATGCCATATCTCACAAGTCAGTATCCCTACCTCACAGGGTGGTATGTCCCAGGTGGCTCCATAAATGTGTTTTCAGCAATCATCATACATGCAGAGGAAGATAGGTACCTTTCCTGTGAGGTCCATTTACAGGACCTGTGTAGGTCTGCTTACTGTCTATCTTATACTGTAGTTTAGAACATATCTTCCTAAAAACTAGGGAAAGTTCCTACCCTGTTCTTCTCTTTTTAAAAAATATTTTATGCGCATGAGTGTTTTGCCTGCACATATATAAGTGTACCACATGTGTGCAGTGCCTGTGGAGGCCAGAAGAGGGCATCAGATCCTTTGGAACTGGAGTTATGGACCATTGTTAGTTGCTATGTGGGTGCTGGGAACTGATCCTCTGTAAGAGTAGCCAGTGCTCTTAACAACTGAGCCATGTCTCTACCCCCTGACCCCCACCCCCATTCTTCTTAAGGAATGTTTTTTTTTTTTTTAAGACTCATTTCTAGTTAGATACAACTGGTCAGGGTAAACCTGTATACTACATTAAATCCACAGTTGAAGCTATGAGAGAAAATCACAATAACATTGAGTGTTTTTGTCAGATATAATAGAAAATATGTAGACAAGATATATAATCCCATTTGTTTAGACTACTTTAACACCTCTCTGAAATGTTTTGTGATTCTCTGTTTTCTGTTTTCCTTGTAACCTTTACTTCTCTAGACTCCATATTTTATGGTGCTATAATAATACATACTATCATTTTCTTTTCTGACCATTTGTGGCTAAGGATGGAAGTACATTGGGTTTTTGTGAGATCATTCTGGATTCATTGACTTTGATGTGCTCTCTTAGTGTTCTGACTACTTCCCACAGATTCTTTGAGAGACTCTGTGAGTGAACTCAGAACATCTGAAATAATGATAGTTTTGCCTCTTCCTTTTCCAATTAATAATATTCCTTTTTTTTATTCCTGTACTGACAAAGATCACTGATAAAAATGTTAATTGACGTTATAGAGGGACATTCTTCTCTCTCTGTCTCATACATCAGGCTTTCAGGGTTTCACTGTTCCCATAGAGTTTAGTAGATATTTAGTAGAAACTTTTTTTTTCCTGCAGTGTAGCAGGGAAACGTTATTCAAATCAAAGCTATAGAGCAGGTCAGGATACACTGTAAACAAACAATAGACCATGTGAGTGAAGATACTCGTGGGACCAACAGTTATTTTTCATGATGTTTCTTTTTATTCAAGATTGCTAAGAATTTTTCATAAGTGGATTTTTTTAAGTTTTATTTCTTTTATGTGGATAAGTGTTTGCTTGCATGTATGTATGTGCACCACGTGAGTGCCTAGTGCCCACAGAGGCCAAAAGAGGGCATCAGATTCCCTGAAAACTATCTGGAGTTGCACATAGTTGTGAGTCACCAAGTAGGCTCTGGATATTGAACCCAGATCCTCTGTAAGAACAGCAAGTGGCCTTAACTGCTGAGCCCCCATGTAAGTGCTAGAAACCAAACCTAGGTCCTCTGTAATAGCAACAAGTGGTTTTTATCTGATGAGTCATCTCCCCTCATAAATGAGTTTTATGAAACACTTGTTTCAAAAGCATCTTCTGAAACAACAGCTCAGTTTTTCTATGCAATGTGAGGGTTCATTTTTCTCGTGTCTATCTAGTTGTTGCAGGGTCTTTATTGAAACAAACTTCCCTTTCTCCATAAAATTGATATCCTGCCTTATTGTAAGTCATTTGCCATATATAATGTGGTTCTATTGGGGGGGGCTATAAATTTTGTTCCATCAATTAATCTATCCTGGTGCCACTATTCTAATGTCTTAATTATTGTGCTTTGATAGTTTTCCTTGAAGTCAGGTCATATAAGTCATCTCATTATTACCATAGTTAATTTGTATGAACTTAGAAGCAGTTAGTCCCTATCTATTTTTTAAAACCTTTCCAGAATTTTGATTGGGTTTATGTTAGAATCTATGGCTCAGTTTCTTAAGAATTGAAATCTTAACAATATTGAAGCTTCCAGTCCCTGAAGATAATATATCTTTGCATTTATTGATGTTTTCTTTAATTTATGTTACCCCTATTAGTTTAGTTTTCAGTATACATGTCTTGTTTATCTTGTCATATTCTGCATATAGGGAGTTGTTTGTTTGTTTAAAGTATCTTGATATGTTTCCCAGACTAGCCTTAAACTCATGATCCTCCAACCTCAGCCTCCCAAGTTGTTGGTATTACTGGCCTGTGCCCCTACAACTCTACTTCTTATTTTTGATGCTGAATGAGCTCCAGGTTCAGTGACAGACATTGTCTCCAAAAAACAAGGTGGACAGTGACTGAGAAAGATACCCAATGTTGACTCCTAGTCTCCACATGCACACACATAAAAATGCATATATGTACACATATGGGTTAGATGGTACACCCCATTTCTCTAAAGCCCTCTAGAAGGGTTCTGTCTTACTCAGAGTAGAAACTGAAAATCCTTCAAACTTGTATAAGGCCCTCCTATTACTTGCCTGACTTCTTCCCCTCCTGATCTTCTTTCACTCACTCAGCTCTGGAAGCTGTGACTTCCTTGCCTTTCCTTAAACACACAAATCCCATTCCTGTCACAAGCCTAGACATCAGTTCTTCCTGGAATGTCCTCCCGCCAGTTGTCCTCACTGCGTGTGGTTCGCTCTTCCACCTCCCGTACACTTTCACTGAAACATTTTCTTCCTTTAAAGCCCTCTCTCCCCTTTTGAGCTAAATGGAGATATAGACCCCCAAAACAGTGCTGTTCCTTTTCTCTGCTCTGTTTTCTACTTTGCACGTCTACTGCTGAGCACACCATATATTGTGTATGTTTAACTGTTGTTCTCTAAAGTCTATAATAAACTTTAAGCTAGATGGTGTCAGAGGGTTTTTTGTGTGTCATACACTGCTTCTCCTCAGTGAATAGAAGGATGTCTATCTTATAATAAACATTTTGTGAGTTAATGAAAAAGCAAGGAAAGAGTAAATGACTAGATGAGTCATAAGGCAGACCCAGGCCTAATAGAAGGGAAAGGGGAGAAAAGGAAAGAAATCCAAAAAAAGATACCATGAACACCAGGGGTTGCATACATGGTGGAAATGGATCCAACAATAGAAAAGCAAGGATAATGCAGGACCTTGGAAGCAGATGGTGGAAGGTTCAAGAAAACGAAGTCTGTAAGTAGGACCATGGAGCTGCGGTTTGAGTAGACACAAAGCTACACTGAAGTCCATCTGTGCACCATCCACATGGCATAGGCACTTAGAGTGTAATGCCATTTCTATGAATGGCAGGACAAGAGGGGGAGAATTCTTGATAATCTGTAATTAAAAGTCCTGCTAGAAAGTTCTCCTAGAGGAGGCTGGTAGAACAATCCTGCTTTCTTTGGTTTAAAGCCTTCAGCTTGTCCTGTGAAGGTCTGTCTGCCTGGGTGACAGCCTGTTTGTTCACTCCAGGTCTTTGATATCGAGGATGAATTCTCTCACTTCTGGCTTTTTGAAAGTAGTTTTTCCATTTTGAATTACCAGGTTCCATTTTTCGGTCCTCTGTTCGATGGAGCCATAGTGAGTGGAAAGTTGCTGCCAAGCCTTATATGTGCCACTTGCATCAACGCCAGCAGAGCGGTGAAGTGCCTCATTCCACTCTATCAGAGCTTGTATCTTTTTCTTATAAATATGTAACTTATTAACCCTGGGAGGAGAGAGATTCCAGGCAAGCTGTGCGGCAAGGTAAGTACTGAGAACGGGATTTAAGAGAATTTGCCTCAGTCTGCTTTGAAAATAACAGTCTGTTAATGTCATGATATTTGCTAGTTTCTATAAAATATAATGATTGTGCTACATTGGACTTAGGAATTGTTCATTTTCCCCATTTGCTCTCATGAGTTTGTGTTCGGGGACCTGTAACTATCCCAGTGCTGATGTTCACGGCTGCTTAGTTGTTTTTCCCCAGTCCAGTCTCTTCTTTTATCCAGTGTCCCACTCCATTGTGTAAAAAGAGGGATAGCAAGCAAAATGCATTAGAAGTCTCATTCAGAGGGCCAGAAACCAAAGCTGGTGAAATAGTAATAAATCAAAAACGGTGGCACATGCTACCTGCGAAATGCAAATAGGGTTTTTTCTGGAAGATGGGAGGAAGGAGAAATTACACCTAATTGTGAAGAGCTGGAATGGAAGCCCTGAAGGATGCTGCATTGGATTGTCACGAAGAATGGCAGGAAATTCTTCTTACAATTTTTCCTAGTCATTAATATGTCCTCTAATTCCTGACCTTGTTTCTAAAAACAGAAGAAATTTCATTTTTCTCAATAGCACTAATTGGCATGCAGTAATCCTTCAATCCAAACATGATCTCTAGTTATAAAAAATGAAATTAAGATAAGTAACTTTATAAAACTGCTGCAAAATAACATTGGACCTCCTAATTAAACTTAGAATCTCTTCATTTCTAATTAGTATTAGTAATGATTTAAAAACACGCACTGCATTTTACCTCTCTCCATACACCTCTCCCAACCTAACTGTAAGTGATGTATTGTTAGCAGGTAGAGGGCGAGTGAGTAATAATAATGTGTAAACAGATACAGTTCATGAAAAATACCTTTCATTACAATATTGGTCATTTCATTGACTAATATCCTGCCTTTAGATTTAAAAAATATATATGCCATGTGGCAACTTAAAATTATCATAGAAATTAGTAGTAGCAAAGAGCTATTAGGTCCCATCTGGTACCTCCCCTGGGACCACGCCGCATTATTCCCTCCAGCATACTCCTATGCTTTGTCCAGGCTGGTGTCCGAATGTTTGGGGGTGGCATTCTCAGCAGAGATTTCTGTGGCCCTCCAGACCTAATATTTGGAATTGTTATTTCACATGCTGCTTAAAGGAACTTCTTGGCAAATGTAAGAAAGACCTACCCAGCAATTGGCCCATCAGTTTGCATGTTGGGTAGGATGAGCTAGACACCTGTCAGTCAAGACTGTTGGACCAGGCCAACAAAGGTCAATGGAAACCAGAAAATTCTTTTTTCTAGAAGTCCACTGTGATTTTTTTTAATTATGTCACTCTCTCCACTTACCAACCAAACTTGCCATAAAATAACTGTTTTGTTATTTGCTGAATGCTGCTTTGTCAAATAATGATAATAAGGTATATTTGGAGCAATTAGATTTAGGGAAAACAGTATTTTTAAAAGTTGAAAATTGCCAGGCATGGTGGTGCACACCTTTAATCCCAGCACTTGGGAGGCAGAGGCAGGCAGATCTTTGTGAGTTTGATGCCAGTCTGGTCTACATAGCGAATTCCAGGCCAGCTGGGGCTACAGGGAAACCCTGTCTCAAAAAGACAAAAAGAACAAAACAAGCAAAAAAAAAAAAAATTAAAATTTCAAAAACAGTGTTCAGTACCACTTTTAAAACCTCAAGGAATCATATCAAGAATAACTGGATGTTAGCTAAGTTTACTGATGCTAATATAAATTCTGTACTCTAAAATAGCTCACAAAATAGACAGTGTCACATCTTAGAGGACATCTTAGTGTGGAAGCTAGGAAGGAAACAGTAACAAAACCTATTATATTGATCATTACACATTTTAAATACCTTTTTTTATATATTCTTGGAGAAAAATTAATTGGTGCTATTCAAATCAGTTATCTAAAACAATAACTCAATTAGCTGCTATGCGTTTTTGAATATGTGAAAAGACGTTGCAATCATTTGGTGACTCTGTTCTTTATGTTCTATGCACAGAACAGCTAATATTCTGGTCAGAAATGAGAAATGTAATAAAAAGGATAAAATGTGAAAAAGTAAGAAAAAAGAGGAAGGTGGGGTTGTTTTGTGGTTTTTGTTCTTCTACAATATATACTGTTTTACAGCTGTATACATGTGCCTATCCCAGCTATTTATAGCCAGCTGCTCCCATAATGTTCTCCAGAACATTCATGTCTATATGCACTTTGGTCACAACCTGAACCTGCTTACCTGTGTCATAGCTTATATCTGGAATGTGCTGCTTCATTGACACAAGTCTTACATTTGAATTTTGAAAAATACTAAATACCAGGCCAGGCATGGTGGCGCACACCTTTAATCCCAGCACTCCACTCAGAAGGCAGAGGCAAGCGGATCTCTGTGAGTTCAAGGCCAGCCTGGTCTACATAGTAAATTCCAGGACAGCTGGGATTATAGGGAGACCCTGTCTCAAAAAGACCAAAAATAAATAAATAAATAAATAAATAAACAAACAAACAAATACCCTAACAGATCCTAATTATGGGTCTCTAATTGCATTTATTTGTTTACCAAACAAACATTTCCTGTGGACTTTCTGCTAAGTCCAATCTAGGAGCTGGGGCTATGGCAGCACAGTAGGGAACAGGGAACTCCTGTGGTTCGGGGAAGACACATTAAGGAATGCACAAGCATTTTTTTCTCCTCTTCTGTGAAAAATAAAATTGAGAGTGAGGGTGAACTAGGGGCAGGACAAGGGGTTCCTCTTCAAGGAAAGAATACTTGGGTGGAGATTGGAGAATGAGAGGAAAGTTGTCTTTAGGAGCAGGGGTAACATTCTAGACAGACATAAGGATGCAGTGCCATGGAGAGGTAAACGTGTTTTGTATGGATCCTAAATGTCCACGTTCATTAAGGTGCCTGTGATAGTCTCAAGATCAAGCTCTGGAAGAAATTTTATTCTCTAAAGAAGCTTCTCAGGCTTTCTGCTCATATGCACCTCAGAAATTCTCATCTTAGTACCTCATGCTGAAGTAGACAGCCAGGTCTGCTCAGTGGGCAATAGACAGGCAAGGGGTATAAGGATCACCACACCATACAAGCCTATGCAAACCCTAAAGGCTGAGATCAGCAGTGCTTTGGACACATCTGGATCCAGGGCTAGTAATGTAACCTCACCATTCCAGTGGAGTGAGCATGTGGTACTTCCTTTCAAAAAGAAGAGAAAGTGCCTCTAAAGGTATGAAAATAGAAAGCTCCAGTTTTCTGTAGTCTCCTGATTTAAAGTATTTTTCTGTTTGCTATTTAATGTCACTCTAAGTAAAGGAGTGTTAAATTTTAAATTATTGACATTGATTTTATCATTTTTCTTTTTATGGTAAAATGACTATTTGATTCCAATCTATAAGCTTTAAACTTCTCATATATGGATCCCTGGGATTCACAATTCACGTGTCATAGCTCATGTGTGCTTTGTTCTTAACAGAAGAGTCGAAACACTGCACAAACCACTTTACCTGTGAATGTTTACTCTTCACAGACATGCATTCTAGCAACACTTTCTGCCATAGTTTCTTGCTGAGCGAAGGACTGATAGGAAGAGCAATCCTGTGTCACCCAGTCATCTCGTTCTTTTTATGGCACTATTTGCAGAGTAAGTGGTTGGCCACTACAGGGGATTTGATAGGTTGTCTCTGCAGCCACTTTTTGTTGCTTTCTTTTTGCATTCAAAGTAAATTCTGCTTTGGCAGAAGAGTGTGACCTCTTAGCTTCCATGAATGTTCATTCATAGAGGAACACAGTTCTCATGTGAGGCTGCTTAGGCCACATGCCCCTGAAGTCCTGCTTGTAACCCATCCTGAAACCCTCAGGACAGGCTGAGGAACTCTGGTCCCAAGTTTCTGGCATTGTTTTTGGTTAGTTTGTGTGTTTTTCCCCCTAAAGCCTGACAGTACACTCCATGGCAAAGTTTTATTGGTATATAAACTGAGACTCAGTAAAAAGGAAGCAGCTTGTGTATACTGCTCTAGAAGAAAAAGTCACTTAGAGACCAAATACCTGAGAAAGAATTACTACTACTGTCCCCTTGAGATACAAGGGAAGAAAGGAAAATTTCCTTGTCATCCAGGCCATTTTCTGTGTGCAGCCCTGTATCCCCCTTTTGTTTCTGATATTTAGATCATAATTGTGAAATAGAACGTTGCCAGATGCTCATTTCATCTGTGTTACTCACTTTATATATCAAGATGGTCGTTCTGTGAACAAAGACCATGTTGTTCAGTTCAGACCATATGAATCCCTTAGATTCAAGCATTTGCTTTCCTGTGTCCATTGCAGATAGATACACATTGACTCTGATGACAAATGAAGCAGTGGGATTACTCTGATGTAGTTATTTCTACCTCTCCATTTTATCCCCAGTTAATTGATATTTAACTGCCTTAGAATAAAGTCCATTCCTTAGAATAAAGTTTCCTGTAAGCTTTAACCAAAAGTAGAAATGTGGAGACTGGAGAGGTAGCTCAGCAGTTCAGAGCACTGACTGCTCTTGCAGTAGACCTGGGTTCAGTTCCCAGGACCCATGTGGCAGCTAACAACTGTTCAGAATTCAGTTTCAGGGGATCCAATGTCATCTTCTGACTTCTGTGGGCATTGTATAACATGGGTACATTTACATACATGCAGATACTGCATTCATACACATAAAATGATAAATAAAATATTTAAAAGTGGAAATGTAGACAGTTACATGTCAGCTTGACTTGTTTAAGAAAATGCATTTCTGATTTATCTGGAGATTGGAAGCGTTACCCAAACAAATTTGTCTTTTGGGTTTGTTTGTTTTGTTTTTTAATAGTAAATCTAACACAGAGTCATTATCAAAGGAGTTCTTTCTGTTGGATAATTGATTGAAGAGTCGA